TAAGACTTGACCAGCTCCCTCAAAGCCGCCAGCGTGATTGTCTTTCCTGTCCTCCTGCCCTACTGGCCACACATCCCCTGGCTTTGGGTCACCCATCCTGCTGCTGATTGGTGTAGTTCAACACCTCGGCATGCGTCCCTGGTCTTGTTCCAGAGCATCTGGTGGGTGACCGGTGCTGCACACGTTCATCTGAGTCTGGCTTTTGTTTTCCAGTAGGTGTGTGAGGGTCATTCACGGTGTTTCATGTAAAGTTACCGGTTTATTCTGAATGCTATTGAATACCGCGGTGTGGATGAGCACAGCTTGCTCCTCCGCTCCCCTGGCGATCAACATTTGGACTCTTTCTAGTCTGTGGACATCTAGTCTGTGGACCTCTCTGCACACCGAACTCCGCAGCCTGCGCCTTCCTTCCAAGCACTTGAAGAACCTTTTCACAGAGTGACCCCATGCTGGTCCACAGAGCAGGGTCAATGAATCACTAAGGACTGAGATAATAGAGAACACGTCCTCTAACCACAGGGAAATCAATCTAGAAATAGAAACAAACCAAAAGATGGAAAATCCCCGTATATCTGGAAATTTTAAAACTGCAAGGAGATTCCATGGCAACCCACCCAGACTAGCAAAAATGAGAAAGCCCGGCCACACCACAGAGCAGGGGACCCGCCACAGCACAGAGCAGGGGACCCTCCACGGCAGGAACTTCCACCCCTGTGCCTGGTGGCGCCACCTTGTGAGGCTGAAGACCCTTGTGCCTCACCACCCGGCAGTGTCACTCCCAGTACAGCCCAGGGAGGGTGTGTTCCAGAAGACGGGCACAAGGATGTCCCAAAGAACGCCTTTCATGATGTCCACAGACTAGAAAGAGTCCAAATGTTTCCTCAGGTCCCTGTCTTCCACGTTGTCCAAGGGGGCAAAGTTGCGACGTATACAGTTGAGGGGAGAAATAAAGAATTCCATCCACTTCTGCCCCCTCAATGTTTTATTCACTCAAATTACTCGATACAATTTCACTCTGTTGGTTCTTAATCAAGAAAACGACGATCCTTAATGCTGGGCACTGCCATAGACATAATCAATTCACAGCAAACAATTCTACATTAATTCTAAGCACTGCAAACACACTTAATCATGACAGACATCCCCTCTGCCTGCTACGTTCAAAGGTCTCAAGCCTTAGGCTTTGTGTCCAGCAGATGCACACTCACTCAGACGGCGGCGGTGATCAGGTCTGGAACCAAGGCAGGCTTTTCCTGGGGTGGAGTGGATGACCTTTGAGGAGAGGGTCCTAGGGAGAAGTTGCGGCTCTCACCAGGGTTCAGGTGAGGGGGCAGAGCTTGAGAGCAGTGAGGATCACGCAGAGGCTCAGGAAATGATTGACAAGTGACGGGATGTCAGGTCCTCATCAGGCCCTCCAGCCCGAGGGCATCCTTGTTTGGGCTGGCTGAATCCCTGTTCACTTGCTCTATTGTTTTTTGACCCCCCCTTTCAATCCTTATCAGCCACCACCTGATTTCTCAGTGACATCGTTTTCCCTGGGGTCAGAGACATCTGGTCTGGTGGTCTCCACCCTGATCTTCCCCACTTTCCCTCTTACCAGGGAGGACCGCCTGCTAGGGGCTTCACTCTGTTTATCAGGGTGAGGGGAAGTGACTTGTTTGAGGCCACACTGGAGGGCTCTGTGGCTGTGCCTGGTGAGACTGCAGGTTTCAAACTGGGGTTTTTAAGTGGAGTTGCTTAGGCTCAGCCTCAGGCCGTCCTCACACACATACTCACTGAATTTTTGTCTACTTAACCAGTCACTGAGAGAGAAGTGTCCCGTCTTCTGCTCTCTCAATTTCTGCTCTATTTATTCTGAGGCTGTGTTATCAGCTACCGATCATCTTAAAATTTGTATATTTTCCTGGTGAATTGAACATCTTTTACTTATTGGATAATCTTTAGTTTTAAAGACACTTCTTGTCTCAGCCATTAATACATAGACCATTTTTCATTTGATTAATGTTCATAGGATACCCCTTTTCTATTCATTTCCTTTCAATGTTTCTGTTCTTCAGTTTTAAATATGTGTCTTTTTAATAGCATGCAATCAGATTTCTCAGACATTTGTCTTTTGACTGGAACAGTCAGACATGTAATAGTTTTGTTTCCTTTTCTTTGAGGAGCTGGGGATGGAACCCAGGGCCTCTCACTTGCCAGGGAAGCACTCTGAGCTACACCCTCTGCCCGCTATTTAAATAATTTCAAGCATGTAATAATGGATCACATCACATTCAATGTAGTCATGGACATATTTGGATCTGGATCTATCACCTTATTCTGTACTTTCTATTCCCACTTCTGTGTTCTTCTCTCCCTTTCTTTGGGTTGATTTTCTTTCAAAATTATTCATTTCCTCCTCTGTACTAATTTAGAAGTTACCTTATTTCATATCTATTCTTTTGGTGTTTACATGTTTCCAGGATGAAAATGTTCTTGTGGGGACGCGGGTGTAGCTCAGGGCCAGGGGTCACTTGCCAGCGTGTGTGAGGCCCTGGGTCCATCCCCAGCTGGAAAGAAAAAGGAGAAGAAGGGAAAAACGGGCAAGAGAAAGTATTTATCTACCTTACTCCAGTTTCTGCCAGATGACACAAGGATCTCAGAACATTTGTTCTTTTAGAGAGACATGACAGTAGAATATCTTTTGACATATTGTGTGTATATGGAGTACGACTTCCCATTCCTGTGGTGGGCCGCGTTGTGGAGTTTCGCGGCTCTTGTATTCATGTATCAATACAGGAAAGTGACGCCCAGTTCATTCTACTGCCTTTCCCATCCTCTTCCCTTCCCTTCAGTCCCCTTTGTCCAATCCAATGAACTTCTATTCCCGCCTCCCTCATTGTGTGTTAGCATCTGCACATCAGAGAGAACATTCAGCCTTTGTTTTTCGGGGATTGGCTTATTTCACGTAGCATGATAGTCTCCAGTGCCATCCATTTATTGGTAAATGCCATAATTTCATTCTTCTTTATGGCTGAGTGATACTCCATTGTGTATATGTGCCACATTTTTTTTTATCCATTCATCTATCAAAGATTGGTTCCATAGTTTAGCTATTGTGAATTGAGCTGCCATAAACATTGGCTGAGTCTCTGTAGTATGATTTTACGTCCTTTGGGTATATGTTGAGGAGTGGGATAACTGAGTCAAATGGTGGTTCCATTCCAAGTTTTCTGAGGAATCTCCATACTGCTTTCCAGAGTGGCTGCACTGATTTGCAGTCCCACCAGCAATGGATGAGTGTGCCTTTTCCCCCACATCCTCACCAGCATCCATCGTTACTTGTATTCTTGATGACTGCCAGCTTTTAGGAACGTCCTCATTGTCTGATCTTACTTCTCGGTCTCAGAAGGAATTTCTTTTCCCTTTTCTGCTTTCTGCCTGCTCCGGCCCCGCCCTGCAGGAATGGAGCAGGGTAGGAAGGTGGCAGTGAGAAGTGTCATGCCTGAAGGGCAACAATGAAGGACGCTGGGGATCCCGGGGTCCCCTCAAGGACTGAGCCCTGCTGGGCTGGCTCTGTGAGGTCCCCTCACCTTGGCAAGACGCTCGTGTGTGTTAGAAGGCTCTGTCTGCTCTCCTCTGTCCCTGAATCTCTTTTGAGAGACTGAATATATAAACAGACAACAGCCAGACCCTCGGAAAACAGAGCTCTGACCCACAGCCACAGAAACCAGCCCGGAAACCAACCCTCTTCTCTACAAAAGAGCCCAGGAGGCCACAGCCCCTGCTGCAGGCTCCCGGGAGCCATACCGCCCTCAATAGCAGCCACCCAGGAGGCCAGACAAGGTCTTTCCACCCAGCTTGACGTGCCCAGGGCTTGAATAGTAAGACGGACAGATTGCCAAACCTTTGTCCTCCTTCCAAGTTAGGACCAACCGGAGAATGCCAAATATGGTCCCCACCCAGCTTCATCGGCCACCCACACCAGCCTGCCTGCAGCCCATGCCATGGGGCCTACCGGAGACTCCACTCTAGAGCCTTTCCACTCCTCGCCCGCCTCTGAGTCACACCCAAACACCGTGATGGTGGGCGTTGAGTTCTGCTGCAGCAGGCTCGGGTGAAGGGTCGTGCTTGTCTCCTGTGGCTGGTCTGGATTTCCACGCTCTCCACCCTCCTCTCGGGCTGCAGTGGAAGCGACTTTCCTCAGAGAAGTCTCTGCACCCACCCCCTGTGCACCTCCGCCTGGGGGCTTCCCACGGGGACCCTAGAACAAAAAGCTCTTGGCCTGCAATCCCAATGGCTCAGGAGGCTGAGGCCGGAGGATCTCAAGTTCAAAGCCAGCCTCAGCAAAAGCGAGGTGCTGAGCAACTCAGTGAGACCCTGTCTCTAAATAAATACAAAAAAAGGGCTGGGGATGTGCCCCTGGGTTCAATCCCTGGTACCAAAAAAAACCCCTTGGCTCCCACCACCTGGGGGCTTCCTACTGCCCACAGACACCTTGGCAGGTCAGTGCCTGGGAAGCCAGCTTCTGAGGCCGACGGGGTACAGGCGGTTTATTTGGGAGGGTTCTCCCATCAATGCCTGTGGGCAGGTGGAGACACCGAGGGCTGGGATGTGGCTCAGCGGTTAAGAACCAGGTTCAATCCTTGGTACCAAAAAAAGGCGGAAGGTGAAGTCAGACGCAGTCACAGCGAGGCCCGGGCTCATCCTACGGCATCTCTGCAGCTGGAGACACCATATCAACCCACCACTGCTGAGGGCTGCCCCAGGACAGTCCTGGCCTCCCAAGGTCACCTGCAGGGGAGGAGCCCCACTGGGTGGCCGCCACACTCCAAGCAGAGGGGATGAGGGCTTGAGTGCCCTGGTGGGCGTGCACCTCGGGGCGGCCTGCCAGTGTCCACCAGAGACTCAGGGGCCTGCACATGTGGCTGCAGAGAGAAGGAAGGAGGAGCCGCCGGTCGGGGAGGTTCAGCACCGACCGTGAGGGAAAGAGCCAAGAGAGTGGGAATCCCAGAGGGAGGCAGGTAGGCCACAGACAGAATTCTGAAGCTAAAAAAGACATAATTTCCAAAATTCAAAATTCAAAAGAAGGAGTGGAAACGGTGACAGTCACCGCTGACGACCTCTGGGAGAGATTGAGACCGACTCAGAGGGCAAAATCCAATCCGAATGGAAATTGAGAAGAGGTCTGCAGGTCGCACCCCAGAGAGCCACACGGGGACGGGACAGACATGGAGCAGAGGAGCAGAGTGACTCAAGAATTGCTAAGCCCTGGCCCCGCCCTGGGGACCCTTCCATGTCCCTGTCACCTGGGCCACGCGTGCAGGGCGCCATGCCACCTCAGGAGATGGACAGCTTTGGCCGTCAGATCCCTGCCCTCCGAGAGCGGAGCCTGGGGGTCTGTTTTTTCTCCTCTGTTTTCGCCCTGTTGGCCCGGAGCCCTGGGTGCCGCCCGGCAAGGCCAGCTCTCCACAGGGGAGACCCTCCTTGTTTTTTTGTGCTGAGGATTTAATTTGGGGCACTTTTCCCTTGAGCCACATCCCAGTCCTTTTATTTTTTATCTAGAGACAGGGTCTCACTGAGTTGCTCAGGGCCTCACTAGGTTGCTGAGGCTGGCCTTGAACCTTTGGTCCTCCTGCCCCAGCCTCCGGAGTCGCTGGGATTACAGGCACGGGCCACTGCACCGGCACATTTTGGTTTTAATGTCTGGACAGTACAGGGTTTTGTGGTCTGTTCCTGTGGCCTCTTTGGCGATGCGATTCCCTCAGAGGAGTGGCAGGCTTCTGATCGTCTGTCCCTGGTCCCCTGGGTAAGTCACCACACCCAAATGCTTTCCTCAGCGGAACTCTCCCGCGTGACTCGACTCCTCTGCCCCTCACCACCACTTTCCTCTCCTCTCGCGGGGCCAGCTCCTCCGATCTTGCTGCTGAGCTGAGTTCGTGGGCCTTCTCCACTCAACCCGATTCCAGGGCTGTTTCCTGCCACGCCGTCTCTACAGCAGCTGGCCTTTCCTGCTGTCCAGGGCACATGCTTTTGACCCTTTCACACTTGCTCCAAAGGGGGCCGTATGGTCCAAGTGGGTCCCTTCTGACGCTTGGCTAAGTCGCCGAGGCTGGCATTGAACGGGCAATCCTCCTGCCTCAGCCTCCCAAGTCGCGGACATTACAGGTTGCGCCATGCCCCGCCCGGAACACTCTCACAGATCCCAAGAGCGCTCCGTTGACCATGTTAGACCTTGAGACAGAATCTCACTAGTTATTTATTCATGTAAAAGTGACAACAATAAAACAATTGCACGCTCACAGTACCAGCAATTTAGTGAGGCCCTAAGCAACTTAGCGAGACCCTGTCTCAAAGTGAAAAATAGAAAGGGCTGGGATGTGGCTCAGTGGTTAAGAACCCCTGGGTTCAATCCTCGGTAACAAAAAAAGCACTCTACCAACTGAGCTACATCCCCCGAAAAAAGAGTGTAAGGACCCAGGGACTAATACCTTTAGGGACTGGTGCTTTCTACCTCCGTATTCCTCAGGGCTGATTCTCAACTCTGGGCCAAACTCAGCCCCGAAGCCGCGCAGCACCTGCTCCCTCTCTGTGGGGCGCAGAGTTCCCACTTTGGAAGCCAGAGTCAGCCCTTTTCTTGTTTTCAGCCTCCTGCTGTCTGTTGGGGTCAGCGTGGACACTGTCACAGAGCCACCCATCCTGGGCCCTGCCCGCGGCCCTGCGGGATGTGGAGAGTGTGGGAAGGAGCAAGGTCCTCTGCCGTTGTCTCAGGAGAGAATCGGCTCCAGGTTCCCCTGTTCTTTACAGAGATCAGAAGACAGTTTTGCAACTTCAAAGGACCTGGAAAAACACTTTTCTGCCTAAAACAAACAAACAAGCAAAAAAATGATGGGCTCATTCTCAGTCCGGTCACTTCACTGTGTATTCCTCCAGAGGTCCCCTTGGCCCCACCCTTCCTTCCTTCTGGTCTTTGCGGGGGTCTCACATCCCCACGAGGTGCTCTCCCCGTGCCCCTTGCTCTGCATTTTCTTTCAGTGCCTCTCTTCTCTGAAGCGTGACCTCCATGAAGGCAGGGGTCTCTTTTGGTATTGAGAGTTCATAGGACAGTGCCTGGCACACAGTAGGTGCTCAATAAATACCGGTGGGATGAAGAAATGAATGATGGCGGCTACAGTCCAGATGTGGTTTGTCCCTGGCAAAAGTCGTGTTGGGTCTTGGTCCCCAAAAACCGTGTTGAGGGGTGTGAGGTCTTTCAGAGGCCCTCGAGGGATCCTCCTTCGCAAAGAGATTCATGCAGGTCCCAAAGAGTGGATTAGTCATCACAGGAGCGGGTGGCTCTAAAGAAGACTCAGCTTCCTTGCTTTTCTTTTGCTCTTTTTTTCACTGTGGAGTCCTTTTGCCACAATGCCTTCACCAGAGGCCTGAGCCATGCTCTTGGATCTCCAGAATGTGAGCTAAACAAACCTCTTTTCTTTATAGAGTCCCCAACCTCAGGAATTTTGTTATAGTAATAACAGAAAATGGACTAAGGCAATGAATAAATACCCGGTGAATTATAAAGAGGAAACAAGGGGTACAACTCAGTAGTAGAGCACTTGCCTAGCATGCACCAGGCCCTGGGTGTGCTCTTCAGCACCACAGGAAGGAGCAGGCGGAGGAGGAGGAGGAGGAAGGAAGGAAGTGGAAGGAAGGAGGAGGAAGGCAAGAACACTCATCCCAAATCCCCACTCTCCCAGGAGGAGCAGAGTTGGAGGTCACCCTTGGCCTGTGTAATCTGGAGTCTCAGTAAGTCTCAGCCAGGGTTTGGTGAAACGGCTGTACACGGCTATAACCTGAAAGACTCAAAACAGAGTAGGTAGTTACTTCACCAGGCCTAACACTGGAAAAGGGATGTACTGCAGTACATTCACAAGAGGAGTCGTTAAGCAGCTATCAACATTATGCCTGCCCGCCCCCCTTCTGCAGTGCTTGGAATCAAACTCAGGGCTCATGCACGCTAAGGATGTACTCTGCCACTGAGCTGTATCTGCAGCCCCCAAATGAGGCTTTTGGAGAACCACTAATCATATGGGGAAATGCTCAAGATACAATGTTAGGTTAAAAAGAAGAAGAAGAAGAGGGGCTGGGGTTGTAGCTCAGCGGCAGAGCACTTGCCTCGCACTTGTGAGGCACTGGGTTCAATCCTCAGCACCACATAAAAATAAAGAAAGTAAATATATATAAAAGAAGAAGAAGAAAATAAAAACAAGATGAAAAACTCACATACAGGGCTGTGGATGTAGCCCTGGGTAGAGTGTTTGCCTAGTGTGCAGGAGACCGTGGGTTCAATCCCCAGCTCCACAAAACAGACAAAGTTAACAAAAATGTGAAACGTCATTTACTCTTCTGTATCTCATGAGCTTTTTTTTTTTTTAAATATTGTTTATATTTAAACAATATAATACCTTTGTTTTATTTATATATTTTTAGGTGGTGCCCAGGATCAAACCCAGGGCCCCACACATGCTGGGCAAGTGCTTTACCACCGAGCCACAGCCCCGGCCCCTCTTATGAGTTTTATGTGACTGTGTCGCCTGCTTTGAATTATTAAAATAGAGTGAGAGACGTAGCTCAATGGGAGAGCCGTTGCCTAGTGTGCTAGGGGCCCTGGGTTGAATTCCCAGCACTATTTTAAAAATATACATATGTGTGTGTATGTGTGTGTGTGTGTGCATGTATGTATGTATGCACACACAAACGTGAGTTTAAAATGCAGTTAGAAAGAAGAATGGATGTGTATAAACATTGAAATAAAGTAGTTAAATTATTCGTCTTTTTTAAAAAAAAATTAGGCAGACTGACTAAATAGCCAAAAAACCCAGGATAATCGACTTATAATCAACTTTAAAAAGACACACCTAGTAGCGCATGGCCTTCTTCAGTAAAAGCAACGAGGACCCCAGGAGAACTGGTGACTCTGGGGCTGGGACAGGGGACATATAAGATAATCTTACAGAGTGACACCTTGGAGAGTCATAAGAAAATACTAGGAAGAAAAGGGCCCCCATGATGGGGGTGTCGGGGCGCAGAAGCCCACGGCGGGGCCTCTGATGACCACAGTTGGAGCAGCAGAGCACAGAGTGGACAGGACTGACCGGTGCTCAAAGCACACAGTCAACATCTGCAAGTGCAGCCTGAGGTCAGTAAGTGACTGGAGAGTAGCTAAGGGCACAGAGCAGGCCGCTCTGCCATGCAGAAGACTCTAGATCAGGAAGTAGACCCAGCCCACCCACTGCCTTGAGGGTCCTGCTCAGGACCTCCTTCCAAGGAGAGCCCCCGGGGACAGGAAAGTCTCAAGGTCACCAGCTGCCGTGATAAGTCCTGTGGACAGTACATACCCTGAACCCAAGTCCCCAGAAAGACACTTTCCTCTGTGGCCTTGTCCCCAAACCCAAGACCAGTCTGATTCCCAGAACAAAATCCTGGGAATGGAGCAGCATCCTCCAAGCTGGCTGACGGGTTGCTGTGGTCCGAATTGTCCCCCAAAGGCCCATGTTCCCCAGTGCAGCAGTATTGGAGAGGTAGCCTTTGGGAGGTGCCCCGCTGGCCTCTCGAGGGCTCCACCCTCACGAGGTCACTGCTGTTACCCAAGGGCTGGGCAGTGTCCCCCTCCCGGCACCTTCAGCAGGTGAATACACAGGTCCCCCATCCCCACAGGACACAGCAGCAAAGCGCCACTGATTACCACGGACTGAACCTGTGGGCACCTTGGCCTGAGGGGTCTCAGGCTCCAGGACCGGGGGGTAAAAGGCTGCACCTGATGAACGACGCAGCGTCAGGCGTCCCGTTACAGCCACGGAAACCGACCCAAAGGCCGCCGAAACCCCCAGGTCAAGAAGGAGACAAGTCTGAGGAACCGTCCCCATCAAGAGGGGCCTGGGAAGACAGAATGTCGGCGGGTGGCACAGGGTCCCATGCGGTGTCCTGAAACGGGAAAAGGACATCAGGTCAAGACAGAGGAAGTCCAAGTAGGAGCCACAGGCTCCAGTTAATGCTGCCTTCTCCCTCGGCAGGGCGCGTTGCGATGAGATGGTAGCAGTGGGGGGACCTCTGTATCCCAGGGGACCGCTCCAGGCTACCCGTGCAGCTGTTCTGTAAATCTGAAACTGTTCTATAATGAAAAGTTTGTTGTTGTTTTTAAACCATGCTGTCTAGATAAAGGATGAAGACTGTAGAAATACTGGAAGGGAAAGAACAGAATCGTCTCCTGTTTTGCAGCTGATATCACTAAATAGCTAGGAATCCCCAACTCAGAATAAGAAGATGACCTTTAAAACACACGACAAACCCAGCATACACAGCCTGTTTTCCAAAACCATTGTCCCGTAAAAGGAACCGGGGCTCCCCCGAGAACTGACAGGTTCCAGGGCAGGGGAATAGGAGATGACGGGGGGGGGGGCGGGGGGGGGCTTCTTGTGGCGCCAGAGGGTGCTAAAGAAAAGGGGCGGAGACACATGATAACAGGCCACCGAAGTCAAACTGAGACAACCCTTATGACCAAAGTCGGAACACCCTGAGTAACACAATCATGACAGTGTTTGATGAAAAAACACAAATAAAAATCAATATCCAGGCTGGGGTGTGAAACCAAAACAAAGACAGAATATTGGCAGATTCTCAAACTATCTCCCCTAAGATAATCAAGTAATTAAAAAGGGGGAAATGGTCACTTTACAGTGGAGACTCCAGGCAGGCAGCGTCTTGGCTTCGAGCCAGAGGCCAGCACCAGGTCATGCCATCCGCACCGCCCACCCCTGACACAGCGCATTGAGCACACACGTCATGCCCGATGTCCTCTCAGTGACGCCTAACCTTGATAAAAACGCCCCAGAAAACCCAGAGCGGGGGTATTTCACAGAACAGCTGACCAGTAGTCTTCAAAAGCAGCAAAAAATGAGCCGGGCCCAGTGGCCCACGCCTGCCCTCCCAGGGCTGGGGAGGCTGAGGCGGAAGGCTCGTGAGTTCAAAGCCAGCCTCAGCAACTTAGCGAGGCGCTAAGCAGCTCAGTGGGACCCTGTCTCTAAAACAATCATGAAATAGGGCTGGGGTGTGGCTCAGTGGTGGAGACCTCTGCTCAATCCCCAGTATGAAAGGAAGGAAGGAAGGAAGGAAGAGAAAGAAAGAAAGAAAGAAAATAAGAAAGAAAATAAGAAAATGGGGGCAGGGGAAGGGCTGACCTTGGGACGGAGGAAGCTGAGGGTGACAGTTTAACGTCTTGGGTTTGACAGCTGTTCTGTGGTTACATAAGATGGGAGCAGAGGAGGAACCTGGGTTCACAGAGGGCAGAAGGAACTCTCCAGCCTGTTTTTGTAAATCTTCTTCCCATGTCAGAATCATCTCAAAATAGAAAAAACACAGGAGACAATGGCCATTTTCAAAGTGATAAAGAGCCTCAGTAGCTGCGCTGAGGCCGAACAGGACATGTGACCGGAAAACTGCTCACCAAGGGACATCAGCAAACCTGTGGAGCGTGTCTGCCAAAAGTCTACCAGAAGCCGCAGCCATGAGAAAAGCAAGGGTTCTGTTGCAGCAGGAGACGCGGGTCCATGGCAGGCTCTGCGGTGTCCCCCGTCAGCAGGACCTACGAGCACCGTTGAGTCTTGGTCCTTCCTAAGGGAAATTAAAAAATTTGATATTATTCAATCGAAGTCCGGCAGGGCTTCTTTGGGGAAGGGACTTAGCAGGATGGTTCTAAAATTTGTCAGGAAGAGTTTAAACAGGAGGCAGGCGACTCTCTCGGACCGCTGTGTTGGAATGTGTTAAGATATTCAGCCGCGAGGATGCAAGCCGCGAGGGTGCTGGCCAAGACACAGGAACGGAGCGGAACAGAAAGGGATCAAAAGTGGCTTTTCAAGTCAGTAGGGACAAAATAGATCATTCAGTGTAGGGAGGATGACTCAATGGCCCAATTGGGAAAAAATACAATTAGATGCCTGATGTACTTCAAAATGTGGCTTGGCCCAAACAAGGTGTGAGGGTCACCAGTGAAAATTCTAGAAGTGAAGCCTGCACGGTTTTCTCAACTTTGGAGGGCGGAAGGCCTTTCTGAGGGCAGAAGGAAACGTAAACTGCAAAGAAGGCAGAAAGCAGCAGTCCAGATCAAAGGTATTAAAAAGTTAAATGCAGACTATCACGATCCACCATGCCTGGGACCAGGTGTTTTGGAATTTGAACTTTTCTTTGTATTTGGAATATTTGCATATACGTGATGAACTCTCGTGGGGATGGGTCCCAAGTCTGAACATGTTTTTTGTGTTTCATATACACCCCTACACAGGCCGAAGGTCCCTTCACAGTGCACCTGCATCTTGACTGTGACTGTCACATGAGACCAGGTGTGGAATGGTCCACCTGTGGCATCTTGCTGGCCCTCCAAAACTTTTAGATTTTGGATTTTTGGATTAAGGATGTTCAACCTGTATATATTGGAAAGGTTTTTTTGTTTTGGCAATATATGTGATGGGAGGGGGCTGGGGTTGTGGCTCAGTGGTGAGCACCTGCCTCGCACCTGTGAGCCACTGGGTTCCATCCTCAGCACCACATTAAATAAATAAATAAACAAAATAAAGATATTGTGTCCATGTATAACTAAAAATTTTTAAAAATATATATATGCATATATGATGAATGATGGCTTTATTTCTTTAACCTCTAAAGAGTTGGCTCAAGGGTTGGGCCCGGGGATCAGCGGTAGAGCGCTTGTCTCACATGTGTGGGGCACTGGGTTCTATCCTCAGCACCACATAAGTAAATAAAATAAAGGTATTGTGTCCATCTACAACTGAAAATTAAAAAAGTCTTTAACAAAGAGAGTTGGTTGAAATATTTGAGATAAAGAATACCTTAATAGAAAAATTGACAGGGGATGTCGTCTTAGTGTCCTAGTTCTGCTGTTAAAAAAAAAAAAAGCTGAGAAGAGGCCGTGTGCCATTTGCATGTCCCTGGACTCGCCTGTCATGGGTGGGAGCTGCCTGTTGGGGTGGCAAGGGGTAAGGGGGAGCATCCTCCCAGCATTCCGCCTGTTTACCAATAGGCTTGGCTGGGCTGAGGGTCCTGAGCCCTGGGGAGAGACAGGCTTGAATGACAGTAGAGATGTGCCTAAAGCTTTCCTTCCCCAAGATGTGGCAAACCTGGCCCAGGACAGGGACAGGGAGAACAGCCACCAAAGCAGCCACTAATTGGCCCTCGGCAGCCCCTGTGTGGGTTGAGGGGCTCTGGTCGTGAGTTACCATCCTTGACTGCCCAGGAGACAAACCTCGGACAAGGATTTGTGCACCACGCAGTGGGCAGAGTCCAGGTGCAAATGGCAGGTCCCCAGCTCAGCAGTGGCCCCAGGCTGTGGCCCCTGGCCAGGTACTTAGCCTCTCTGAGCACAGAATGAGTTTGTGAGAGGCCTGCGGGGCTGCATGGGTGCTCAGCGCCAGCAGAGAGCTGTAGACCGCAGGCTGAGGGCTGGCTGAGGAAGGACAGGCGCTGCCTGTGGATCACAGGGTCCCTGCCTGAGACGCTCACAGGTTAGTGGGGATCTGGGGTGGCCCGCAGAAGCACCCATGCTGAGACGTGCCAACACCGAGGTGGAAACCCAGGGGACAGGCCAGGTGGAGCCCTCAGCGGGGTGGGGCAGCAGGGCAAAGCCCTGGACGCACAGCAATGCCAAGCAGAGAGGCCCAGGGAGGGGTCAGCAGCAGGAGAGCCAGAAGTCATGCTGGGGAGGGGGTGGGGTGAGTGGGGGCAGCTGCTGGAGCAAGCTGAGAAGAGGCCACGAGGCCACACCAAAGAAGACTTGAGGAGTTGTCTACAGACGACCTGTCAGAGCCAGGCCTGGAAGCCCCTCCTCCAGGTCCATGCAGGGAAGCTGCAGCCACCGGAGGTCCCCTGCCCCGGGTGGCAGCATTTTACGCTGGCTACCTGTCACAGGTAAGCCTGGTGGCTACTCTTATTCCCAACAGAACAGATTGAAAATCAAGTTCCCCCAGGGTTAGACAACTTGCTCTAGGTCTCATGGTGGCAGGCAGTAAGGTTCCCACAGTGTCCCATGACCTGCGAGCCGGGGCCTTGCATCTTTGCAGTGCGGTGTGTGCTCTTGCTGTCTCTGGCCAGGCCCCCACCTCCCTGCCCCCGCCCACTCCCTTGCTGACAACTGAGATACTTTTGCTTAACTTCAGGAGGGACCTGCTCCCAAGGGCAGCACAGCTTGATGCTGCCCTCTCGTGGCCACACAGCACACTGCAGGCCCGAGGACCTGGAGGGGACTGTGACACCTCAGGTAGAACAGCGGGGAGGACTGGTGGGGAACAGAAGTAAGGGGTCTTCCCCTCTACCCCTTGCTCTCTGAGGGCCCTCAGTTTTCCCCTCTGTAAAACGGGCATGGATTAAGACCTTCCTGGAATGCCCATTATGTGAATTTAATAAGCAAGTCCAGGCTCATTCGTCCTCCTAGAGGAGTCACGGGCTTGACGGGCAAAGCCAGGGGACCTGTGTGGAGAAGACAGTCTTGGTGCAAAGTCCTGCGACGCCCGCTGATGAGGAGTTGGGCACAGAGCCATGCTCCCCAAGGCCCAGCCCTGGGTGCCCTTCCACTGCGTGGCCTGGGTGCCAGCCTCTGGCCAGCCCAGGGAGCCAGGCAAGTCCCCCTCACTCCTGCCAGAGTCTGGGGGCTGCTGCTGCTGCTTCTGAGACCCCAGCAGAGGGGAGGGGCCGTCCTGGAGCCTGCACAGCCAGGGCCCAGCAGAGGTGCCCCCAGCCATCGCCCCCAGATCCTCTCCCTCCTCTGCCACCTCTAGGTGAAGCTTCTCGTCCCTGACACCTCTGCTGGCCTCCCTCCCGTCACTGCTGCTGGGGATGTCCCGTCCGTATCAGGATCCCACTGGGACCTAGTGTGTCCTGCAGAGAGGTCTGGCAGGTGATGGGGCATTGAGGAGAGGATGAGGGAGACGCCCAGGTGTCTGTTTCTTCTTGTTTGTTTAAAGAAGGGAGACAGGACCAGAAGGGAGTGCTCCAGCCCAGAATTCTGAGGGGCCTGGAAGGTTCCACCTGGACCCACCTCCTGAGCGTGAGGAGGAAGAACTGTCCAGCCAGTTCCTCCAGGAGGCCGGAGCAATCCCTGATCCAATCTCACAGGCCGATGGGTAGGTACCCTCCCCGCTAAAACAGCGACCCCACCACTTCATACCTACGTTCCAAACTTGTTAAGGTTTTGCCACATTTTCCAGAAGTGTAAATATTGTAAGCATGTTGCACGTGGCCTGATGCCCCCCCCCCACGTGACCTGGTTTGGAAGTCGCTTCCTCAGAACACCCTCCGGGACCAGCAGGACTGCTCAGGCACACCTGCAGAAACGCAAGTTTTTTTTTTTTTTTTTTTAAGTTTTTTAGTTGCTGATGGACCTTTTTTGTTTACTTATTTACATGCGGTGCTGAGAATCGAACTCAGTGCCTCACACATGCTGCACCAAGCGCTCCACATTGAGCCCCAGACCCGCCCAGAACACGATGTTGTCAGCCGTTTTCTGAGCACGATTCATTGGTCAGGATATTTTCATTTCTTTGGGTCTGGAAGAATCTCTCCACTCTTTTCTTAACCGCACTGATGTGCGGAAGCAGGTTGGTGGCTCCTGAGCGGCAGGCTCTGCAGCCGTCTGCTTTACTGTCCTCTGGGGTCCTGCATGTGCTCAGGCCCCAGGGACGCCATCTCACTTCCACTGAGTGAGACTTTCCCAGTTTTAGCCCTGAATGACCCATGTCCTGGGAACCCTTCAGTGCCAAGCACATTGGGGTGGCTGGCGCCCTGATGAGCTCAGCACCCACCTTGAGAGTGTGGAGGAGAAGTGGGTGAAGGGGGAGATGGCGTGTGGCTCCAAGCCCGACAGGAGAGCAACAGGGAGCCATGGGGCACACGTTCCCTGGAGCCCGGGGAGAGAGGGGGTGATGCGTTAGCTCTGTGCCCGATAACTTCAAGGCCAAGGCTGTGACTGTGGCTGCCTGGCCGGCCATGGAACAAGATGGCCTTGCTGGGGTCAGCTGCACGCCCAGAGGATGGCCGAGGGTGTCCATAGGGATCAGACACTATGTGACATTGTCCAGAAGATCTCATGAGAGAGGGAACCAGCAATTAGAAGGAAACAGGATCGCCAGACCTACAGGGTCCGGGCACCAGACCTTGTCCCTTCTGTCCCCCACATGCCCACTCCTGTCTGGAAGAAACAGAAGCAACTGAGCCGGGGGCAGGTGCAGAGAGAGAAGAGGCTGAGCTGTCCTCCGGCACCTGGCAACCCCGTGGCAAAGCCCGGTGCCACTAGAGGAGGGGAGAACCCGGCTTTGAATAGACTGCAGAGTTGTGGATCATCAGACCTGAACTGGACGTGCAGTTCCTGAACTCAGGCCGTTCTTGGGACCAAGAGGGACCCAAGCGCTTCGCTGCACCTGAGTGAGCACAGACCCACGACGGCTGCCAGGTTTCATCCAGGTGCTGGGAACAGAGCCTCGGGCCTCCACCCCAAGGGGGCCCCTTGCATCCCGCCAAGCTCCCACCAGGGCGCCCGGCCCTCAGGGAAGGCCGGACACCCGCCACCTGCCACCATGACCAAGGTCCTGTGCAGGGGCCCACGTTAGGCCCAGTCACTCCACCCCAGTGGCCTCCATGCCTGGCCCTACCCCCACTCACTCTCTGGCCTCCTCTGCGCACCTCTGACCCTGAGCCCTGCCCTCTCCCCTCTGAACCTGGAGGCCTTGGGCTGCTGGACCTCCTTCTTCACAACTGCTCCTCCAGGACTGTGGCCTTAAATACTGCACATTCCACACTCCACGTCCTGCCCGCCCCAGCCCTGAGCCCCAGCCCTGCCTGTGCTGCTGCCCCCTGAAAGGATCTCCGCCCAGGTTCAAGGTGAGACTCCTCGTTCCACCCCAGGAGCCCAGGATCCTTCCCCTGAGCTGTGCGATACCTCAGTGGGCCCTCCAGCTGCTCCAGCCAAAAGTCCTCCCATCTTCTCTACCCTCTCGGAGACCCAGAATCCATCTGCTTCTCGCCATGGCTGTGGCTGCCACCCTGGTCACCACCACCTTGAACTGAGACCAGCATGATGGCTCCTCAGGGGCTTCTCAATGCCTCCCCAGCCCCCTGTATTCCCACATGGTAGCAGGGAGAATCTAAGACAAATCAAATCACATGGTCCCTCTGCACCTGGCCTTCCTTGACTCCCGCTGCTCTCCGACCTTGACATTCTCTGCTCCAGGGCTCCAGTGCCTCACTGTGCCTCAGGGCCTTCGAACGGCTGAAAGACTTGGGACTGCTCTTCCTTCAGGTCTGGACAGACATGGCCTTCCTAGTGGGCCTTCTCGACCTTTGACCCTCTCTCCCTGCTTTATCTATTTGTAGAGCAGTACTGCCCTCTGACCCTCTGGACCAGAGGTGGGCAGATGTTTCTATAGATGGCCAGAGAGTAAGTATTTTAAGTTCACAGGCCACAGTCTCTGCAGCTACCCCACTGGCCCTCCTAGGACGAAGACAGATGGCACTGGGCAAGTCCCTACTTCTCTGATCTTGGTTTCCTTCTCTGTGGTCGTGAGGATTAGGGCTGAGTTAGATTCCTGTGGCCATTTAAACAAATCACCGCTAATTGGGGGGCTTATGACAGCAGGAGTCTCTCTCGAGGAGCTGGAGGCCAGAAGTCGGACGGCAGGGCTTCAGCAGGCGGCCGTTTGGCTGAAAGACCCACCAGCACAATTTTAAGGGAGGAAAAGTTTATCTGAGGGCTCACGGTTTCAGAGGTCTCAGTCCACAGAAGGCCGGCTCCATCTGGGGGCTCGAGGTGAGGCAGGTCATCATGGCGGGAGAGTGTGGCAGAGGGGAGCAGCTCACAGGACGGTCAGGAAACAGAGAGGGAGACCCCACTGGACAGATACAGGTGCACACCCAAGGCCAAGCCCAGCGCCACCTCCCCAGCGCCTCCCCCACTCCAGGCACCGCCCGTGATGCCATCACAGCCCGCCACTCCTCGGAGCCTCCTTGCACGGTCTCACAGTGAGCTTTGGGGGACACCTTGCATCCTAACCATAACAGCTGTCCTCCTGTGAAGGCTCCGGGAGACCCTTCCTGCCCCGCCCGGTTCTGGTGGCCCCAGGTGTCCCTTGGTGTATGGCGCCATCTTTCTGCTCTGCCTCATCCTCGCGTGACCTTACCCTCTCCTACCTCAGAGGTGGAGGCAGAGCCCAGACGCCCTCTGATGGGCCGCCTTTCTCTGTTGTTTTCTTCTTTTCTTTCTGTTCTCCTTCTTTATAGGGTCTCACTAGTTTGACAGGCTGGCCTTGAACTCGCAATCCTCCTGCCTCAGCCTCCCAAGTCACTGGGGTTACATGCGTGCGCCTCTAAGCCTTGCTTGCCTTTCTTTTATAAGAACACCTGTCACTGGACTCGGGGCCCACCTGGATAATCCAGGATGGTCTCTTCATCTCCAGAGACCACCTGCAGAGACCTTTTTCCAAACACGTTAACATTAACGGGTTCCAGGGACTAGGATGTGGGTATCTTTTGGGGGGGGAACCACTGAGCCCACTACGTGTTATTTTTTTTTTTTTTGGTACCAGAGATTGAACTCAGGGACACTCGACCACTGAGTCAGGTCCCCAGCCTGTTTTGTATTTATTTAGACACACAGTCTCACTGAGTTGCTTAGCGGCTTGTTTTTTCTGAGGCTGGCTTTGAACTCGCAATCCTCATGTCTCAGCCTCCCAAGCCGCTGGGATTACAGGCCTGCGCCACTGTTCCCAGCTCAGGTGGTTTTATGGGAAAATGAGACCCGCATGTCCCTATCTGCTGAGTGGACCAAACGTTCCAGGACCTGTCCAGGCCTCCCTCCCCGGAGGCAAGCTGACAGCCAGCAGAATGACCAGAAGGGCTGAACAACCTGCTGCAGAGTCACAAGGGACAGATGACGACTTCTGGAGGGAGGAGGAGGGGTGGCTGCCAGCAGGTGCCTGGCACAGCCACTCCCAGCCCGTCTTGGGCACGCGCTCACCACAGTTTTCATGGACACAGTGTTTCAACAAGTCTTACATGAGGCTCGCATCAACACTGGGGACAGACAGGAGTTGAGCATCTTCACCACTTTATGAAGAGGCCCAGAGAGGGCAAAGTCCAGCCTCGGCCCTGCAGCTGCAGCCAAGCCTTCCGGGGCCCTCCCCGTCCCCGCACTACTGGTGCCTCCTCTTGCCCGTTCCTGGCGCAGGGTTGCTGGGAGGTGGTGCCCACTGTGGGCTCCGAGGGATGGGAGGTCAGTGGGCATCCCACTGGGGGTCTCCATGGGGCTCCCTGGGGAGGGTGCGGTGGCTCAGAGGCCCAGGGCACACCTCTGTCCACTCCTGTCAGCCGGCCAGCGGGAGGGGCTCCTGTGCCCGGAATAGCTCTCCCAAGTCAGCACGTTCCAGCTTGGGAGGGACCCAAAGAGTCGCTTTGCACCAAGTGTCACGGGGCAGAGACGGCCTCTGATGGGCCCCACTTGGACCCCGGTTGAGCCCCTGTCCCCGGAAACGATTAGACGGGACAGGTGCTGGGCCCTCATGACCCCCGGGGCTGGAGCTGGCGTCCGAGGAATGAACAGAGAGTGCTTCCAAGCGCCAGGCCCAGGAGGAGTGCGGTGGCCTGTGAGCCGAGGCGGCAGCTCCTCGGGAAGTGGAAGCTTAGCACGTTCTCTGGTTGCTCGTTACATTGCTGAAGAGTCTAAAAATTACTGTCCTTGTAACGTCAGAATCCTACAGGAAGAAGGAGTGAGGCGTTCTGGAGAATTCTTCAGAAAGGACATTTCTGGAAGTTCTACTGGAGTCAGGAAACCTGGGGTCTTGCACTCATGTGCCTGGGGACCTGGGGCCCAGTCCCTTCCCTCCCTGGGGGTCTCTGGTAGCCCCTTCTTGATATATATATTTCTAAATTCTTGGTATATTTTCCTTGTGATTCTTGGCACAACTGGCTGTAAGCGCTTCACTTCTCCTCTCCCTTCCTAATTTAGAATCTGGACCTGAACTTTGGACCAGCTGCTGTACTGAGTGGCCAGCAGAGCCATTACGGCAGGCGGGCCACTTGGGTCCCTCCCCTCCCAACAGCCAGTGACCTTAGCAAGTCCCATCAGCTCTTCCTGTAGAAGCCTGACTCCAGCTCCTCCAGATGCCACCTCTCCTGGCTCCTACCATCCTGCCCCCCTGCTGACCTGTCCCCACATCCGCCTGAGTGTCCCATCACCACTCAGCTGCCAGAGTACTACTTTTAGAAATGGAAATTAGATCTTTCACTTTATTTGTTCTTCCAACAAATACTTATCGAGCACCTACTATGTGACAGGCCC